CTTGTGAGTGATGGCTGCACATGGAGGGGAGGGAGCTGGGATTTGCTGAAGGCCAGGAGGGGTGGAGGTGGGGTGCTGGAGATGCTGGCCTGTGTGAGACATTCTAGTCAGTCTGTAAGGAAGCAGGAGGGAGTGAGCGGTTCCCCAGTGACTGTCATGTGCCAGTGTTCATCTGCCCCTTACTTATTGCTCACACTGTCACTGTGGAGTAAGTATGATCCCCATTTTGTGGATGAGGAAAGTGAGCTGCAGAGAAGATAGTAAGTTTGAGGTGACTAGTAAATACAGAATACAGGGGAAGTCCCTGCTCACCCATCCCTGCTCTTTCCAAACTCCCTATCTATAATTTCTGCCCCACCCCCAACAGCTCTTGAAGTGACTGATTGAGTCTCCTAACCTGACAGATGGGGAGGCCATCCTGGACTCTAGTCTCTTCCCACTAAATGTGTTGCTGCTTCCATGTGCTCAGGTTTCTGCGGCTCAGATTCTTGCATTTCAATATTAGAGATGCCCCTTCAGTCAGTGCTGCTTGCAGATTTGAGAAGCATAGCCCACATTCCTTAGCATAACCATCAGCACAGACACTGACAGATGTGAGAATGAACCACTTGATACACGTCCCTAGAGTCATTGAGGGCATGGCCCGGGCCATCTGTTCACCCCACTCAGTGTATCAGCCCCCTGCCTGGTGACATGAACCACAGGCGGGCCTAGAGCAGAAAGCAAGGCCTCGATTTTAGAATAGTGTGTTGATAACTTGCTTTCCACGGAAATGTACTTCTGGGGCACACGGGAAGGTGGGAGCCAACCCTGGATATGGATCTTGGGGGGAGGGGGTTTGTGCACACCTTGCTACATGCTGGTCATGGGGTTTGGACCTGGCACATACCTCCCTGCATGGTACTCTCCAGGTTCTGGAGAGGTGACCCCTTCTTCCTGTGTTGGGTTACCTTGAATTGAATCTGGCAGGGACAGAACCGTGCTGAGTGTGTGTAGCATGTGTGGAGTGAAGCAGGGGACCACAGCCATATGACATAGTGTTTACTGTAGGAGACCTTTTCCCTGGGAATCATAAGAACAGGGGCAGGCTGTACCAGACCAGTGTCTTTGGTTTGGTTCAATTTCCTTTTTTGTTTTGGTCAAGGTCTCTGATGGTTTTGAAGTCTCCATTTAGCCAAGGGTAACCTTAAGATCTTCCACTTCTGCCTCCCAAATGCTGGGATTATGAGCATATACCATCACACCTGGTCTGTACAGTCCTGGGGACCCAGCCCACAGTTTCAAGCATGCTAGACATGTCTTCAACCAGTCGACCCCAAGTGGTTTTGTTTTCTGGTCATCGCTTTGTGGTAGCCATCTTTTCTTTTTCCTGATTAAAGACCAGACTGGCTTTCACTCTTGGATTTTCCCAGTGAAATCTAGAAGGTCAAATCCCAAACAAGTAACTAGTTAATGTAGTTTGCTAAAGAAATAGTTCAAATCCCAGGTAGTGTAGTTCTTATAGGATCCATCCTAGACTCTGAGGTAGAAACAGTGAGTGAAACAGACAACGGACCTGCCATTTGTTCACCTTAGAAACCCAAGAGGCAGGCAGAATGGCCCTGTTCTCACCTCATCTTGTGAATGAAGAAACTGAGGCTCCAAGAGGAGGATCCCATCATGAGACTGGACCTGCTTTAGTCTGCTGCCGGTCCTGTGCCTTCTCTATGACCTCTTCATGGTTTTATGAAGACAGAAACAAGCTGTGGTAGAATCAAACCAAAAGCAATACCTCATTCCCAAAGTTGCCATCCCATAGTGACCCTCACACTCTGACCTGCATGGGTCAGATTTGGTCTGTGTGTCCCCAGTAGTCCTCTCTTGCTGGGGCATCCTAGGACCTTGGGAGACAGCTCCAGCCAACAGCCTGGCTTCCCTTGGACGTGTGTCCTTGGGCTATCCCTGGCAGGTCCTTTGCAATCCTCCTGGACCCCCCCCCATTCTGTTGCTTGTCTCTACAGAGCCTTCTATCACCTCTTCTTTGTCAACCTCTCCTAAAAGGAGCTCCCAGAGAACAGTGGTCCTGAAGCCATTCTCTCCCTCCACACTGGAGCCCCCTCTGCTTGCTGGCTCCTCTCGGAGAACCTTTATGGCTGGATTCTCCAGCCCTTCTCCTCGTGGCATTCTTCATTGCCCTGTGACCGTGCCCTCCGAAGCCAGCTCTGATTGGCCCTTAGCCAAATCTCCTTGACCTCATTGCATATGGTCTCTTGCCTAGCAACTGCCCTTCCTTGATCCTACAATACACTGGAGACCTCGTCTATGCCTCTGTCTATTCTGTCTCCTTTGCAAGCTGGACTGTCCCCACCAGTGAGTGCCGAAGTAAGTCTGTCTGTCACCTTCACTCACATCTCTTCAGAGAGCTGTTAGAACTTGAGCTGTGGTTGTCTGCTTCCAAGACATACCTTGAGTAGATGAATGGATGGGCAAATGGACACAAAGGCCAGTGATGCTCTTGCTGTCATCAGATGCCTGTGATTGGTCACAGTAGGTCTTCATTGCATGCCCTACCAATACCTGAAATTAATGTGGTGAACCACAGATTATTTTGAAATCACGGAAAGTGAAAGTTGAGTGGGATATGGAGGACCATCTCAAATCTCCAGGAAGCCTGGGCACCCTTGCCTTCTCTGTCCATGGTACCACTGACTGGCTCGTCCTGTGAGATCTGCAAAGCTAATATGTGGAGCTTGGGGAGCAGCCTGCTACCTTTCAGCTGGGCCCAGGGCGCTTTCCCCCTTCCCCAACATTGTTTCTGCCAGAGGTTAGTCATGCTGGAGTCTGCTGAGTCAAAAGGGACTTGTGGGTGGTTTGTGGCCAGGCTGGAGCAGTGAGGCAGGACTTTCTAGGTATGAGATTCTGTCCCAGGATGTAAAGACCAGAGATCTCAGCCCTGAGAAGGTTCTGAAGAATAGGAACAAAGCAAACAGAGCTTTGTGGATGAAAAGGATCAAGGGGTACCATGTCTCCAAGACACTTGTGTGGAGTGATGACCCATCAAGTGCCAGGGTTACATGGTCCAGGCTCCAGTGTAGAAATGTGCACAGCCTAAATGAAATTCCTACGTTCTGCACAGAGGGCTGCATTTCAAGTACTTCATGCATTTTAAACAGCATCCCTAAATTGACTATTTCTTTTTATGTTATTTTGTTTTTGATAAAGATTCATTAAATAGCTTGCTTCTTGAATGTTTGTACCTGTGTAGATTTTTTTTCTTCATATAAATAAAACCTACTGTGGTCTGGCATTATGGCTCAGTAGTAGAACCCTTACCTAGTGGGTAGGAAGCCCTGAGTTCAGTACCTAACTAACACCCAAACCAAAGAGACTCAGAAATAAATCCATTACCAGAGCCTTGTGCTAAGACCTTATAATTAGGAAAATATAAGGGTTGAAGAGGAGATGGCTCAGTAGGTAAAGTTCTTGCTATGCAAACATGAGAACCCAAGGTCAGATTCCCCAGCACCCACATAAATGCTGAGTGAGGGGGTGCATGTCTGTGACACCAGTGCCAAGGAGACATAGTCAGCAAGACCCTGGTGCCTGTTAGCCATTTTAGCTAGGTCATTGAGTTAAGTGAGAAGACCCTGTCTCAGAAGGTAAGGGTTAGGGTTGGCGATTTAGTTCAGTGGATGAAGTCACTTGGCCCCAAAGCCTGACCTCCTGAGTTCAACTCCCAAGACTCACGTGGCAGAGAGAGTCATTTGAAAGGTCTCTGACCTAATGCATACTGTGGACACGTTCGTACAGTGTACTGTGGACACGTTATACACACAAATAATATATGGAGTAACTTTTTGTTTTGTTTTTGTCAAGACAGGGTTTCTCTCTGTAGCCCTGACCGTCCTGGAATTCACTTTGTAGACCAGGCTAGCCTCAAACTCACAGAGATCCACCTGCTTCTGTCTCCTGAGTGCTGGGATTAAAGGCTTGCACCACCACCACCTGGCCCTATATGTAATAACTCTTGAATTAGTGGAGAGCAATTGAAGAAAACACCTAAGGTCTCCGCATACATGCACACACATGTACTCATGCACCTATACATAAAGAAAGGAAAAGAGTACCGTTAAAGCCAAGGATAGTGGCTTGTGCCCAGCATCCAGAGATGGAGGTAGTAGTTCAGGGTTATCTTTGGCTACATAGGGAGTTTGAGCCTAGTCTGAAGTAAATGAGATCCTGTCTTAAAAATCAAAAAGAAGCTGGGTGGTGGTGGCACATACTTTTAATCCCAGCACCCAGGAGGCAGAGGGAAGGGGATCTGTGAGTTTCAGGCCAGCCAGGTCTACACAGTGAGCTTCAGGCCAGCCAGGGCTACACAGAGAAACTTTTACCAAAAAAAAAAAAAAAAAAGACTCCGAGCGTGGGGCAAACACCTTTAATCCTAGCACTCGGGAGGCAGAAGCAAATGGTTTCTTTTGAGGCCTGGCCTACAAAGCAAGTTCAGGGTCATCTAGGGCTATATAGTGAAACCCCATCTTAAAAAAATAAAATTTAAAGTCGGGTGCTGGTGACTCACACCTTTAATCCCAGTACTCAGAGGATCTCTGAGTTCAAGGCCAGCCTAGTCCATAGAGTGAGTTCCCGGACGGTCTCCAAAGCTACACAGAGAAACTCTGTCTCAAACAAACAAACAAAAAAAACCCTCAACTAAACAAACAAACAAAAAAATCACATGCAGAGTGGGGGTCCTGGAGGCCCTCTAGGACTTAGCCAACTTTTTTATTTGATCAATGCGTGGGGTTGAACCTAGCATCGTGTGCCTGCTGGGCCACTCTGCCACGGAAGCTGTATTTAGATGGGGCTCAGCTTTACCATACAGGAAGGGTGGGGACAGCATGGCACAGCCCTGGTGACTGCTGTGGAATTAGGACAGGCAGAGGCCAGTGCCAGTCCAGCTAGCCTGGAACTCAGTGCCTCTTGGGTCAGCTCTGGCTTACGGGGTGTGTCTGTGCCCACAGGAAGGAGAGGAACAGGAGGAGAGTCGTGGCAAGGAAGAGCGCCAGGAACCCAGCACCACGGCCCGGAAGGTGGGGAGGCCTGGCCGGAAGCGCAAACACCCACCGGTGAGTGTTCTCTCTCACGTGACCCACGCCTGTGCGGTGGACAGCAGTGATGTGTGCCTGAGGCCTTGCGGGATATTAAGGCCACAGGCTCCTGAACACTCCCTGTTTTCTCCAGTTTTGAACTAGAGGCCGGGAAGCTTGGCCGGTGGGTGTGGGAGCTGGGATCTCAACCCGGCTCTGACCCGTGGCTTCCCTCAGGAAGGGCCCCTGCAGGCCGTCCGTCCACTAGCCATGGTCCTCCGCTCCCAGGAGGGGAACTTTCAGGAAGGGGACCCGAGGTCAGAGCCTGGTTCCAGAGAAAGGAAGACATGCTGGGTTTGTGCAAGAGAGCTGCAGCAGGCGGTGCGCTGCCCTGGCCCACAGGCTCCTCCTCGGGGGAGCCATGCTGCTGGGGTCCTGGGAAGCTCTGGGTCGACTCAAGATGGAGCGAGCTGGGGGTGTGGCGGAACTGTGGGGCTGCAGGAGCCTGCTAACCTCGGTGGATAATTAGTTCCCAGCAGAAGGCCAGCTGGTTCCTTTCTCCTCGCCCTTCCAGCAGAGATTGGTAAACTTGGAGCAGGAGGCTGAGGGGGAGTAGGAGCTCGGGATTGTTAACTCAGACCTGCAGGGCTGCAGGGCAGGGAGCGGCACTGCCGGGTAGGGAGGTGGGTCCAGGGAGGCCAGAGGCCTGGGTACCGTGTCCACTTCCCTTGCTGTAGAGGGAAGAGCGAAGTTAGGTAGCTAGCTGGTCAGTCATTTAGAACATTTTAATAATAAAGCCCACATGGATATTTTATGACCTGTAATGAAAAATTCACTTGACAATGGAAGGATGAGATGAGCGTTCAGAAGAATTTCCGGTTTGGAGCGGGTTGCCCTGGCAGATGCCCCGGTACTCTCCCCTATTCTTTCACCCAAGAGCACCTTGAGGGGTGAGGGTGCATGAAGGGCAGCTGGCCCCATTTGGCTGCAGGCACATCCTTGCCCCCCTGAGGCGCCTCAGCCTGTAATCTGCAGAGCAAATTTTTCCTCTCGAGTTGCTGAGGACCCAGAGCCACCACCTGTAACAAATAAAGAGCCAGTGACCCCTTGACTCCAATTTGTCGGTCTAGAATCAAAAGGAAGGCACAGCACTGAGAGCCGGTGAAAGTCTGGGGTCAGAGGGTATGAGGAAATAACTTGTGGAATGGGGCCTGGGAGGGAGTCATGGATCCTGCTTCAGGGCAGAAAGGAAAAATACCATCTTTGGAGCCCAGCAGACCTGGGTTCAAATACCAGCTTCACAATTAATTCACCGTCTTCACAATTAATCAATTAATTCACTGAGAAGCGCAGGCAGGACGCCTTCCTTCTAAAATGCGGTGACAGCGAGTTGAATTCAGTCTCTATCAGCTGGTGTTGAGCAAGGCACCATGGCAATCACTGTTTGACAGGAGAAAGAATTCTTATGTTTGGTGCTCCCGGGCTCTGTGACCTTGTGCAGTCCCTTAACCTCCTGACCACTTCCTCATTGGTAACAGGGCTGCTGTGAATACCTGTCCTGAATCCCTCCTGGGGTGTGTGCAAACAGCAAAGTGAAGCCCAAATGGACAGTGATGGCCAGATACTTACACTTGCATAATTTCAGCGGCCAGTGTCCACACACCAGGGTGCAGACCTTTGGGTGGAGCTCCAACACTGACCTCTGAGCAGCCCCCATGGGAGGCAGTGCACATCATGAAAAACGTTGTGTGGATATGGTCCGACCTGTGTCCTGGGTGACACTACAACCATCTGGACACAGAGGAGAAAGAGCCCCTTGGAGAGCTGGTGCTGACTGAGGAGTTTGGTGCACGAGATAAGTGTTGGAAGAGAGCCTTGTGGTCTGGAAATGTGGCTTGGTTGGTAGAGTACCTGCCTAGCATACATGAACCCCTGGGTTTGATCCAGTGCCATGTAATACTGGCAGCACATATCTGTAATCTTAGCACTTGGTGTGGAGATTGGAGGATTAAAAATTCAAGGTCATCCTCAGATAAATAGTGAGTTTGAAGACAGCCTTGGCTATGAGACCCTGTCTTAAAAAAAAAAAAAATTGAATTAAAAAAATTGCCTGGTAGTCGTGCGCAAACCTTTAATCCCAGCACTTGGGAGGCAGAGCCAGGCTGATCTCTGCCTGATCTACAGAACCAGTTCCAGGACAGCCAGAACTGTTCTATAGAGAAACCTTATCTCAGAAAACAAAACAAAACAAAATTGTAAGGGACTGGAGAGTTGGCCTAGCAGCAGTTTAGGGCATTTACTGCTCCTGCAGAGGACCCTGGGTTTCATTGCCAGGACCCACATGGTGCCTCACAACCATCCACAACTCCAGTGCCAGGGGATCTGATGCATTCTTCAAGGCACCAGGCTGGAATGTGGAACACAGACACACAAGCAGACAAACCCTCATACATTTAAAAACAAATTTTAAGGGACACCTCTTATATTGGAGGGAACAAAGAAAGTCAGCTCAGAAAATGCAGTTTTTACTGTGAGACTGCCTGGGGATGCTTCCGGTTCCTGCCTGGCTGCCGATAGCCTGGGGCTAGGTTCCTCGAGCTCTCCTGGGACAGGTGTGATCCTGGCTTCCTCCTCTCTCCTGGGGTCCCTATCTCCTTCTCAGCAGGAGCTCTGCAGGTGTCTCTGGGATCTGCTGCAGCTGTGGCCCTGGGGCTAGATTCCCAAGGAGCGTTAGAGACCAAGTTTGTCTCCGGGAAGCCTATGAAGGGCAGAGTGGGAAAGAAGGGGAGGCGGAGGAACCAGGGAGAGCATGGCCAGCAATGAGGACTTCCTCCTTGCTAGCTTTACTATGCAACACTGCAGAGGTTCAAGAACACCAAGCGTTTTCCTCCTCAGCCCCAAGATTAAGCACCCTTGGTTTCCTCCTCGGTTTGTCCCCAAGTTTGTCCAACTTTTCCATCCTCAGATATCTGTCCTTGGGTGCTGCTGTGTTAGTCCCCTAACCAGGGATGCCCAGGTTAGCTCACTTTGCAGAAACTCTCCCTCCCCCCACATTCCCTCTTGCCCTTCACATGGGAAGAAGGAATTTATCTTCCAGTGTCCTAGAGAAGAGAGGCAAGTCACAATAATATACTGCTTGGCAGGTCTCTGTTCGTGAGACTCTAGAGCAGTGGTTCAAACCTTCCCAGTGCTGAGACCTTTTCATACAGTTCCTTATGTCTCCCAACCATAAAGATTATTCTCGTTGCTGCTTCATAATTGTAATTTTGCTGCTGTTGTGAATCTGTGTTTTCCAATGATCTTAGGAAATCCTGTGGAAGGGTCAGTTGACCCCAAAGGGATCCTGACTCACAGGTTGAGAATCCTTGCTCTAGGGACTCCATTTCTCTTTCTCCCCACCCCTACCCCTTTTCTTTCACAGGGCCTCACTATGTAGCCCCAGCTGACCTGGACCTCACTTTATAAACCAGGTTGGCCTTCTGGAGTACTGGGATTAAAGGTGTGTGGTGTATGCCACTGAGCCCAGCCATTGGGTTCTGGGAATCTGGGACCTGGGTCCTCTGGAAGAGCAGCAAGTGCTCTTAATGGCTGAGTCATCTCTCCAGCCCTTGGACTCCATTTTTGTTGTTGTTCTTTCAAGACAGTGTTTCTCTGTGCAGCCCTGGCTGTCCTGAAACTCGCTCTGTAGACCAGCCTGGCCTCGAACTCACAGAGATCCACCTGCCTCTGCCTCTCGAGTGCTGGGATTAAAGGCGTGCGCCACCGCTACCCATCAGACTCCATTTCTTAAGAATACACACATAATTAAATTTTAACTAAAAAATAAAATAAGTAAAAGAAAAAGCTAAGCCCAGTTTGGCCCCTCTAGATGATAAGTTCCTTCTGGACCTGGTTGCAAAATAATACTGGTGAAGAACTAAGAAACCAGATGACAAACTGCAAGCCACAGTTCAGATGGCAGTGGTCTGCAGGCCTCACTCCCAGAAGTGTGGCTGCTGCTTGTCCTCAGAGAGCTCTAGAATCAATATCTAGGAGCTTGAGGTTTCTAAACTGCAATTTAATTAATTTACCTATTTTACATACTTACTCAGTGGTACCCAAACCTAGTTTACACATCTTCACCAAGTGCTCAGCCCCTGAGCCATGCCCCCAACCCCAGAAACTTCCTCCTCCTCCTCCTCCTCCCTACTCCACCTGCCCCTTCTTTAATTGAATTGTATTATTAGCACATTTACAAATCTGTTTTTGTTTTTATAATGATATGATTTCTTAGCAAATAGAGAACTTAAAATCCAACCTCATCTCAGCTCCCTCAATCCACACCCCAAATCTTGTATCGGCCTTTAACCCTGGATGAAGAAAGATTGTCCCTCCACTGGTTTAGTGTTGGTTTGAGGGTTTTGTTCGGTTGTGGTAGCAGGGAACTTGCTAAGCATCCAAGGTAGACCTTAATCTACTGATTCTCCTGCCTCCACCATCTCTCAAGTACTGAGATGACAGGCTTAAACTACCACCACACCTAGCTGTTTTTGGTGAGTGTATTGACTGCTTTTTGAGACAGTATGACTTTGTAGCCCTGGCTGTCCTTGAACTTGCCACAATACTCCTGCCACTTGATGCCATTAGTTTGACCCTTGGTACCATCTCTTTTGCATGGCTTCCAAGTGTAGCTCATTTCATCACCCCACCTCCGAGGACCAAGAACAACGGCCAATAACACAGTGCTTTGTTGCCTGCGAATGTTTTAAAGGCTTACCTCAGGATATCTGGATGACACTTGCACACATGTGCATACACACAAACCAGTAACGAAAATTAGAAGTTTCATCACTGCTTCAGTGAAGCCCTGTGCTTTCCTTGTCACTAATGTATACTAGGCCCAGGAACCTGAGTTCCCAGCGGCTCTTAATTTAAGTTAATATATGAATGCAGGGCTGTTTGAAAACGTGTGCAAACTGTTCCCGAAAACATACCGAGAAAACTGAGATCTGGTGGTGAAGTGCATTTGGTAACGTGCAGTTGGTAGAGTGCTTGCCATT